GGCAGTTGTTTCCACAGGATTACAGTTCTAAAATAAAGATAAACCAAGAAAGATAAAGCAGCATAAATTTATGCATTTCTTATATTCTCCAAAGGTAAGACATACATATCAGGATAAAAAAACAATGTGCAACTTTTAAATAATACCATACAGTATAAAAAAGTAAACTACATTGGTTTCCTTTTTAGTATTTATGTATTTGTATGGTAGCATGTTCTAAATAAATTTATATTTTTATTTAAATATTAAAATAAGGCATCTTTAACAACACAGTTACGCACATTTTATTTTATTACTTGAACTAAACCACAGGGCACTTATTGCCAGAGAACACAAGCTCAGATCTTTTTAAGACAAATAAATTTTCATAATAATTCAAACAATTCTAAAAATAGTGCCAGTAAAAAAAAACAGAGGCACTGATTTACTTAGAATAATCTTTCGCCATTGTTATAGATTTCCGTGGAAAATAATTTAGGGAATTTTTTTTGTAAAATTAAGACCAATTAAAAATCTCTCAAATCAGAGAAAAATATGAACTTTGCACATATGTAAAACAAGTTTCAACTGACTTTTCCCAAATACCCCACCATGTGGAGTGTCGATTTCCCTATACCAGTCCCTTCTCCAATCACTTGCAAACCATTTGTAGTCTTCTGGGTATCCATCATTCTGAGCCACTGGCTAACTTATGTCCCTTGTAACAATGTCATGACCACTAAGGATTTTTCAAAGACTCCTGAAAAATAAGAAGTAAATAAAACAATTAAAGAAAAATTAGGGTGAAGTTTGGGGAAAAAAAATACCAACAATAATGCAGCTTGTATAATTTGTGGAAATTAATTCAGAAAATACTTTTTTTTTCCGGTGCAGATTATGAACTCAAAACTTTAAATTAAGTCACACAATAGATTTAACAGCTTTAAGTCTTGAATTTGCAAGCTTATTTATTCTTTGCACTGCAAGGTCTCATATATTTTCCAAGTGCAGAAATGTAGATGTCTTATACTTTGCAGAAACGCAGAAGTCTTGCTGGGCATCTCACCTTACTGCATCTAACCCTCAGAAAGAATGAAGTTTAAAAATGGCCACAGTAAGATCCCATGGGGCTACAGGTTGATGCTGAGGAACATTAAAAAAACCACCAACCAAAAAAACCCCACTGCTGCATCTTTCAAAACAGTGAATTTATTGCATAATAAACTATCAGAAGTTTGTCCTGCAAACATAACAGTTTTTAACTACAGAAGGACATTCTGCTGCTACTGCCACTTTTGGAAATTTCTCCTAATGTTAATTTAACAAGGTTACAGTCTTCCTAGCAAACTAAAGCTCTTCCGCAGTATTCATGACTGTGTAACTCCACTGCATATTTTACAATAGACACTGAATCTTGTATTTCAAACGACTCTCAAATTCAGAGTCAAAATCTTCTTTTCTCACTTATCACACATACACACAGACTCAGTTGTGGAGCACCACTTCAGTACGACCCAGGTGCACATCAGAAGGCAGCTCCTTAAGTCCATTGTTTCACTGGCACTGGGGTTAACTACACCTTGAATTAGCCAGCAAAACAGGGGGGTAGAATACAGGGATCCAATTCCGCTCCTGCTGACTTCCAGTGGAACTAACTAGAATAAATACGTATCTCTTCAAGATGCATGAGGAAGTTAAGTTAAGCTGAATTGCAAAGTCATCAATGTAACATCTTTCCTTCAGCCACAACTGTTCCCTTTTCAATACTTCCACTGAAAAGTATCCTCTCTCACACTATGATGTCCTTTCAACCCTTTCATACAGTACAGCACCAACTCAGATTCTAGTTCCTTCCAAAAAGGGAAATTTCTCAAGGCATTCTTTGAGACCAGTGCCAATACCAGTTCAACCTAAATGTATTTATAGTATTTGGCAAGGAGAGACCCTACACAACTGGACAGAATGCTAAAAATCAACAGAGCATGTATTAAAAACAGCACAGCAGAACAATGCAACTCCTCATTTCAAATCAGACCCCAATCGCAACTTAAGAGCAGGTCAAAATGAGATGGTGATGTGTCACATTGACACTTTCAATGTGTTCAGCAGCACTTCTCAGAATTACCAGGCTGCAGCATGTAGAGACAGTATACCCTGACTTATAAAACTAATGGTTGTAATAGAAGGCAAGAGCATAAAAATATCAACCCACATGCCTTAGCACACGTGTTTAGCTTTCAAAGTAATGCTAGAAGGTGCACAAGAAAAAGTACGGTCCTGGGCTCACGCAAGGTGAAAGTTAATGAATTAGCTAAAAGTATGCACACTTGTTGGACTACAAAGGAAAAGCAAGAACTCCCAGTTTTTCACCCAGTGGCAACAGCACTATCACACTGCAACTCAACTATATTATCATATATTTAGTCTAGCCAGGAAGCTGATTTTTTTATACAATTACGAGTTGTACAGATATCAACCTATATCATAGGATATACCAGATAACACTCTAAAACACGTAACTTTATGCTTCAAGGGACTTTTAGTCAATTCCTTGGCCTGAAGCAGTCTCAGCTCTCCATTGTAAATAAAAAACATAGCTCATGTGACAGGAATTCTCCAAGAAATTTCTCACCACATAAATAAAATACACACTTAAAAGGTTAGTAACACTAGTAAGTTGCAGGTTTTTCCTTCTAATTCCTTTGCAAGTCCCTGTTTTCCCTATCAACCTTCTCAAAAGGAAAGCAAGTTGGTTTTTCTTCGGTTATGTTCAGACTCTGTTACTTCTGCTCTTCTTTTTAAAACTTAAATATTGTTCTGAGATGTACAATACCTCCCCCCAGCTATCATCCCCCAGCAATAGTACTACAGTACTATTGGAGTAAAGACATTTTATTCCTCTTGTGAATATAGTAACTTTAAAAAAAGATTAATTATCCTTTCAGTTCAAACACATAAACACAAAAAGCAAATAAAACAGGTCTGCCTAGTACTAGATACGCAGAGTGGTACTAAGTGGCCTGCCTGTACTTTTCAAAGAGGTTGTAACATTGCAGGAAGTTATTGGTGATCTTTGCACAATGTATGAAAATTTGGCATCAGCTCAACAAAGCTACCAAAAAACAACAAAGACTGCTGCACCAAGTACTGGAACAACCCATTGCAGCCATGTGCAATAACTGCATTACAGATGGGAAAGTACACAGGAATGTACTTTCACACTTACTGGGTTACATTCTAAAGCATTTAAAATGCTACTTTCCTTCTTTTAGTCTGAATACTGAAAAATGTAATGCTAAATATGCTGTGGACATGGCATAATTATGCTATGGTTACGCTTCGTTGAGTACATGAGGTGATCTAACAGTTCACTACAGGGTCCTCTCTTGTATTTCTCTCCTGTCACCTTCCCTGACACCTCACATACTCATCAGACTTTCCACGAGATAACTGAACTCACAGGAAAGTCAGTAAAGCACAAGTTTTTCTGCTATTCCAGTGAGTTAAACTGGCCTATGAAAACTCCAATGACCTACAAAGCTGACAAGGCAGAAGACAGAAAACAAGGAAAAAGTGAAGGACTGGAGAGAGAGATATGGTTTGATGGACAAACTGTTAGAGGGCTAAGGGATTGGCTAGATGGCTACATCCAAACAGCTGAAGCTCTATGCCCTAAGCAAAACCCAGTAACGAGTGGCATCTCTCAAGGGCCTGTTTTGGGACCAATACTATTTACTGTCTTTAGCAATGGGACACAGACAGTGGGATCGGGTGCTCCCTCACTGAGTTTGTGGATGACACCAAGGCAAGTGGTGCGACTGACGGGCTGGATGGAGGAGGTGACATTCAGAGGGACCTGAAAGCAACTCTCTCTACATCACAGCCTATCAGTGGTGGGCAGAATTGCAAATCTCCATGGTGGGGGGAGCAAACACAAATTTCTTTCCTGAAAGAAGCCTAACACAGACTAAGCAAATTAAGATAAAACTGATGAAGTTTCAAAATAAACTAGGATGCAAGTTCAGAAAGTTCTAAAAGTTTCTTCTTCAGTCAAACTTGTCTTAAACATTCTCATCCAAAATGCTTTTATGGGTGTACGACAAGCGACAGAGGCTATGTGTTTTGCTGACAAAACATTCAGTTTTTCTGGGAAAAAAAAAGTCAGTGGTTTAATATGGTTTAAACTAATGGTGTTTATTACAGCTGCAGCTAAGAGATGCAAGACTTCGGGAAGGGACTTGGTGCAGACAGAGGCCTAGTCTCTATCCCACGGGGGTGGGAATGAGGGGCTAAGGGTGGATGGATGAATGGAAGGCAAGCAGCTGGTCCAGCCCAGTGCGCCGGTCCTGCCCTTCCACACCGCAGCTCTTTCAGATAAAGCTATGCTTAAACTGCCTCCTCAGTTCTTAATCCCCATCCAGAGTGGTCCATACGCTACGGAAAGACTGCAGAGGAAGAAAGCGTTAGTGGAGTTAATCGCTGGAGCGCGGGGAGCCGTGCCAGGGGCGGGTGCGCACGGACACACGCGGCGCCGCACCGAGCGCGACCCTGGTTAACGGGGGAGCGGAGCTACTGACATGAAATACTCAGTCGGCATTTCGGAACCCGGGACACCTCCCCGCTCTCCGCCGCACCCGCAACCGAAGGGCCCGGGACAGGCCGGGGCCGCCACTCACTCTCCACCGGCCGCAGCCCCCACCCGGCCCGTGGTGGAGGCGGCTCCAGCCCCGCTCTCACCTGCCGGCTCCCGCCGCTCCCGGTTCTCGGCGCCCCCCGCTGCCCGCGCAGCCCCGGCCCCCGTCGCGCGTGGCCGCCTCAGCCCGCCCGGCTGCCGCTGCCGCTGCGCAGCTTCCGGCGCGCTCCCGCCGCCATGCGGGACCGCCCGCCCCGCTCCGCTCCCGGCCGGCAGCGGGGGCGGAGCCGCCGGCGGGCGGGGCCGGGGCTGCGCCGCGGCGTTGCGATCGGCCCGGGGGCATTTTCTACTCCCTCCCGCCGCGCTCCATCGCTCAGGCGGAACGGTGGGAGGGACGGCCGTGGGGGCCGGTCCTCCGCCGCCGCCGCCGCCGCCTCCCGGGAGCCTGAGCGGGGAGGGTCCCGCACCTGCTCCCCCCGCCCGCCCCTCGGCCCGGAGGGTGACGCGCGGCAGCCGCAGCTGCCGGGCGGGAGGGGCGGCCCCGGTGACGGGAGGGAGGGCGCTGCCGCCGCTCCGCGCCTTGCTCGGGGCACGGAGGTGATGATTAACCTGCCGTTCACTGAATACCTGCCCGGCTGAAGTCGCGCCCGGGGTGTGGTATAACCTTGTCCGAGGTTTCGGTACCTCGGGTGTTGCCTTTCTGCCCGAGACCCTGGTGCTGCCAGTTCTGCTGCTACCGAGGCGCTGCGGGGATGTGCAGCGCCCCGTTGAAAATCTCTGCTCTTAATCTCAGCCTAGACTTCGCTTTGCGGTCGTTTTTCGGAGGTTTGAGTCTCCAAAGGTCGAGGTGATGTGGGGCTCTCGGTCTCGGCGAGTATTTTTGCAGCAACAGCCTGGGGCTGCAGTAGCTGGCAGCTTGAATCCATGTTGGCCCCTTTTCCTCGGGCGTGAGCTGCAAGGAGCTCATCAGCTTCGGCATTTAGGTCAGTACTCTGCTTCTCTTACGTCAAGAAAGCTGCCAGCGTGGACCGAGCCAGTCTGCTCCCCGGGGCTGGAGGGAGTGAGTCAGGGAATGGTTCTGGTGATAGCACAAAAAATACCTTCTCTCTTACTGCCTGCCTCTGCTTTCCGGCCTCTGCTTTCCTGACACGTTAACCCTGGTTGCCTTTTTAAAAAGCGTTTAGCACTGTGTGATTTACATCGTGAAATGATATGTTAGTATGATGGGTCCATTTTAACATCCGTAATCTAGCTTTTTGCAGTAGTTATTCCTGTCATTTTTACAGCAGTGTTTTGAAGATTGAATTAATGTTTGAGGGTATTTTGCTCTATTGGAGGAAGCTGTTTGCCTGACTGGAGAAAGATTGTAGTGAAACTTGCTAATAATTTTGTGAGAAGACTTTTTTAATATTGATCTTGTGGTTTGGTTCAGTAGCGCCTTCCTTGTGGAGAATGTATTTTTTTCCTGTGTACTTTTCATCAGGAGTGCAAAGGACTTTTGGGTATGTTGAGTAGAAGGAACTAATTCTCTCTACAGCCATTGAGATGGGTCTTTCTACAGACACACACTGTATTTGATAAGTATTTAATCTCTTTTTCCAGTGGCTCTATTTAACTGTTGAAACTGGTCAAATAATGCAATACACTGAATAATGCTGTTTAATAGTTTCATTAGGTAGTTGTATGTATGCAGTAATTTTTCTCAAGGCATTTTAGGACTCTCAGAATATTGTGAGTTCAGCCCTAGTAATACTTACAGTTTAGTTTCTTATCATTGTAGTGTAATTTCTAAGTTTTCCTAAGGGTGTCTAGGGTCCATTGGTAAATTAACTTACATTTGGAGACAGACTTTTTAACAGGGTCTGTGGCAATAGCACATGGAGCAGTGCTTTTAATCTAAAAGGGGGTGTGTTCAAACTAGATATAAAGAAGAAATACTTTGCAATGAGGGTGGTGAAACATTGGCATGGGTTGCCCAGAGAGGTGGTGGATGCCCTGTCCGTGGAAACATTCAAGGTCATTTTGCTGAGGGCTCTGAGCAACGTGATCTCTCATTGAACATGTCCCTGCTTATTGAAGGATAGTTGGACTAGATGACCTGTAAAGGTCCCTTCCAACCCAAGCTATTCTATGATTTCAGTTATTTTTCTATATACTGTTAAGTACCACAGTAGGATTTACTGGTATAATTTCTTTTTCCCTCCCTGATATTCAAGTTGGATAAAGAAAAACCTTGTGCCAAAGAAAGAATCCAGACCTGAGTTTTTCCATATGCTTGTTGGCAAAGGAAAGAAACTGATGTTTTTCATCTCACGATACAATAGAAATTCAGTTGTCCCGAACAAAACAGTCCTAAAGTAATAATTAGTACATTATGCCAACCCTGCAGTCACCAGGAATTGATTTGAGTGTTCCAGATGTGGACTGGTAATGACTTTGGGATCTCGTTAGACTGCTGTTTGCTTAAATGTAGTTTTCTCTGGCATGTTGTGTCAATTTGGTTTAGATTTAACTAACAATTTATGAGCACGTGGCTTATTTCTCATTTTAGTGATTTCTGTCTTTACCTTTTGAAACTAATTTTCCTTAACATAGAGTAGAAGTGTTTAAAGATACAATTTTTGAAACTGTTTTGATTCAGGCAAGTGAACGAACAAACATACCTGATTTAACTTTCTGAGTCAGGGTATGATCCTCTTGTTGCACTCTATTCAAGCATAATTTGCCAACTTAGTCATTACATTGACAGTAAAGACTCATAGAAGCTCCTCCCAGGCCCCCCCAAGATGAACTCTGAAATGAGTTTAATGAGTTTAATTTGTTTAAGGCTTGATATATATATGTTGCTTTCAAAGAGCAACATATCTGTACAAGAAACCATTGTCTAGAACATACTTAGGAATATTGGGGAAATAACATTCAGAGCATATATTTAGAAAATTGTACTCGGGCTGAGAACATATGCTATTAGTGTGTGTCTTCTAAAAATATTTTCACATGCAAATTACACACCCGTTGGCTGCTTGCTTCTAACCAGATTGTTGCTGCATGATGGTCCCTGAGAAACTGAATATGGAGTAGGAGGTACCAGCTGAAAACTTTTGCTCTCAAGCTTTTGTTTCTTAGGTTTTACACTTGCTTGATTTTCCTTCCTCTTTTTCCAAAAACTAACATAAGAACATTAAAATTTAAACTTGCAAAGTGCCATTTTGGAAAGGTAAGAGTAGTAAAGTAACTGATTATACGTGTATCTCTTTTTTCCTGTTTAATGCTTCAATATGTTATTGATGTTCTGTTGTCAAATACGGATCACAAGAAAGCTTAGTCACCATCATCTCACTTGGATAATTTCTGTGTATATAAAGTCAAGGTGACTGGGATTGTAAACTTTCTTGTATTTCATAACTATTTTTAAGCCAACAACCTACTAACGTTACTGATTTTAATCTGTACATGTAGTATCTTTTGGCTATTGCATCGCAGTATTTTAACCAAAGGGAGGGACATCTTTTTTGAGACAGAGGTTATAAAATCAGTAGCTAAAATAAGAGGCCAGGTTCTTTTTTGTCGACTGCTATGCTATCTGTTTAAACCCTTCTCTTTTTTCTGAATTAAAAACCTCTTATGTTTTTATGCCTTTTTTTCCCCTGTACTTTTGAAAATAAGGGCTACACTTTTTCCTCACTAGCCTTGCCAGAGCATAAGAAATCTATATATTGCTCTGAGTTAGAGTTCTTTTTTCTTCTTGGATCTCAGAAGAGCACCTCTTATTTTGTCATCCTTAACAGAAGCATATTTTTTGCCCTGTAGCAAAGAGAGAAAGTGAACACTTTAGACCTGATATAGTGTTCTCAGAAATCACTGCAAAGATTTCCATTTGGGACTTTCAGCTGGCCTTCAAAATACTTTTTCTTAATTTTCATTCTATTATTTCAGTTATTTTACCTCCCTTTCCTACAGCCCATAGGCTTCTGACCCCATTCCGATAGGGAACAATAGCCAAGACTTAACTTAGTAGCTCTTGTTTTTTCATAAATGAAGTATTTTCAGGAATATTTCTAGTGGGAAAAATATCAACGATGAAATGTTGATGGAAAATACTGAATGGGACTCAGCATGAGGTAATATAACAACAGTCAAAATTCATGTGGAAATTTGGAGTTGCATTGGTTAAAAGGTATACAAAGTAAAAAGGATTAGAGCAAGACAAGTGTTTTGAAAATAAGTGAACAAATAGAGAGCATTTGCCCAGATATCACATGTTGGTTTCTGGTTTCCTATGTTAATTGGTGTTGCTCTTTTAAGGCTCTTTCACTCTCCTTTTTGTTTGGCCTTTATACTGGTTTTCCCTTCCCCTGCATGAAAGTCTGATATTTCTTTGGTGTTTTTTAGTTTTAACTGGCTTACATCAGAATTCAAAGACGTGTTATCAATAAGGTTATTTATTTGTTTCGAGAATCTTGGTTTTCAGCGATAGCAGCTGAAGGCAGTGTTTTACAGGGCTTAGCACATTTTACACCATCCCAATTTTCCTATCTCTATTTTGTGTGTATTTATAAAAGGGAAATTAATGCCAAATTATAGCTATGCAAATAAACAATATTTGGTATAACACATGACGCTTTAAAATGAATCTTAATTGTTTCATTCTGTTTTCAAAGTAACTTTGAAGGCTATTTTGTTTTCTTGAAAATAGGTGGTAATCAAACATAGCAATTAGAGTTGAACCCTTGTGACTCTTGGAAAAAAAAAATTCTAAATATCTTGCCTGCAAAACCTGGTTTGCAGAACAAAGAAGATTAAATGAGACACTCGCTGTCCAAGAAATTAGACAATTCTCGTTACACTCCATAACGTGCTTCAAGACATTTTTTGTGTATTACAGTACAAAAGGAAGGGGTCTCTTCAAGCAAACTGATTCTAAGTTGGCAAGGTGTCCATCCGCCCTGAGAAAGAAGGAGCAACGATACATTTTGTGAAGTTTTAAAATGACAGATTATCCATTCTTACCTACTTGAGCTTATAGTGTTACCTACCAATTAGAGACTTTCCCCTCTGGTACTTACAGCACTTGAGCTAAATTTTATCTCTATTGTCTTGTGGTTCTTTTCTTATTTAGTCTTGCATGTTTTTGCTTTCCACGGTCCCATTTGGGGAAACATCTGTCCTGTGTAAAGATGCCAATACTGTTACAGCCACTAACACTATGCGTGACCAGAGCTCAAGTTTCTGGCAGCTCTTTCTAATAAGTGCTGTGTAAAGGCAAAGAAATGCTAATGCCTATTCTGAAGAGTTAAAAAATACCTGTCCTATCTCCTCCTTCTTGAATTGCCGATATATTGCATACTTACCTGATTTTTCACAGAATTACATGAGTGTAAATAGTTTGTCAGACTTGGTGGGACTAATTCTGTTTGAACTTAAAGCCCTTGCAAAATCTTTCCTGTTTCTGAATTATCCTTTTATGGGGTTTTTTAATGTCTAAAAATGTAGTATCAGGCTTGGTGTTAATATATTTGTGAATGTATTTGTTAATGTATTTGTGAAACAGCTAGTAAATCCAATGATATGAATAAATTTCTTAAATAGGGATACTGAAAGAAAATAATTTATATTTATGAAGTAGAACATAGATGGTTTTATATTTTTATATTATATATTATTTTTGTATGATAGGTTTTGTTTTGTGGTGCTGAAACACCACATCATGACTGAGTTTTGTTACCCTAATTGCTGTAAGAATACATGTGGTTCTTCACCCTCAGAAAGCAAGTATTTTGGGCCTGGAGACCACTATGCTTCTCTAAATAAATGATTTTTTTAAATCCTCAAACTATTTTTAGAGCCTTTTGCTGTAGTTCTTGGATACTGTGTTGGTGAGGGATGTGGGCAGTGAATAGGGGGGATGATGGCGGTAACAAAAAAAACTATTACATTTTTCCCTAGAGCCTAACATATCAGTAGTTCAACCTCTGGCTGAAACCAGATATTACTAACTTCTTGTTTTTGATGCAAATTTACCACCCCTCTCGTTCTCAGGTGTTGCAAGTTATTGACCTATTAAATGCATCTAATTGTCCTTTTCCCTGTCAATCTCAACCTTCCTTTATACTTTAAAATTAGGCATAATATATTTCAAAGCTGTCATAATGTTCAGTAATTGTTCTACATAAAGCATCATTTCTGCCTCTGCCTTTAAAACAAAAGGGAATGGCTGTAATTGTCCATTTTGGTCTGATAGTGCTTTTTCCTTATGTCAGAAATGTTATTAACTAGCCGCACTGGCAATTTTCATATAACCTCTGTTGTGCTAATGCAGAACTTTTAGGCTGATGTTGTTTTCTGTAAACAATACAATATAATTGACACTAACAATGCTTTCTTTCTCTCTCTCTTTTTTTTTTTGCTTGTTTTCTAATGAAAGTCGTCAGGAAAGTAGTTTCACACTTTGGCCAAAACTCAAAACCAATCATCTGCTTTTTATATGGCAGCAGCACCTAGCAAGGTGTGGGCACATCTGTTTTGGTAGGATGTCATAAGAGCATCTCCTTGCAATTTGTTTACTCTTCCCTCAGACAAGGTGCCAGTGCAGTGACTTATTACTTGGTAGTCAGGTATTGAACCTCCTGCCTCAACTAGAATGCCGAATACTGTACTCCTATAAAAAGTTGCAAACGTGGAAATGCAGTTAGTTTTGCCAAAAACAACTATTCTCTAGGAAAATTTTACTGTCTAAAATACAAAAGCAATATAGTTTGGTGTTAAAAGAGAACTTAAATATTTAGTAGGATGGATTATTCAGATTTGTAAATCAGACAAAATATTAAAGGTTCTTGACACAAGAATAAAATAAAGATACCTAAGGTAGAAATTTGCTGTTGAAGATGCCCTGTCAGTTTGGGGATCCATCTGATCTCACATTTATGGGTTTAGAATTGCTTGCTTGATTCCTGTCTCTTGCTGCTTCCTACATGCATCTTTCAACCATGTCCCTTTCTTTCATGGTCCTGTGGTTGATGTGGGTGCACCATCACCTGACCTAATTTCTGCCACTTACACGCTGGTGGGAAAGTTTGTTGAGAGGTCTAAATTTAACTCCTAGTGTATAGTTAAGAGAAAATTGTTGAATGCTTGGAGAAGGCATGTAAATAATGTCTGGAGCTGCAGAATTGAAAAGGTTTTCAGTATATTTAGAAAATCTCAGAGCCTAGTATCTTAAAATGCCTTTCTGATTGGCCTAAGACCAGTCTTATCAAAGCTGCTAAAGTAACTTTCTTTTTTTCTGTATAACCTCACGCTGTTTATTTCTTGTTGCTGTTGTTACCACTTTAATAATATTTATATGGTTTACAATAAAGTGTCCACAGTATTAATATTTGCAGTCACTTACAATAACAGGTAATAAATGTTTAAATAAAATAGTGTTTTAGAAAATAAGCGGGTTTTTTTCTCTGTTTAAATTGTGGGGCAGAGTTCATATATGCCACACAGCATAGATAAAATATTACTGTATTTCTTGCTTCAGCACAGAGGACATTACTGAGCTAATATAAGGCAAATTTGTTTTGTAATTCAGCTTGTGTGATTGGCTAATCGTGGTTTTATAAAACTTTTCAACTTTTTTTTTTAACCTGTGGATTGTTTGTGATTTCTTTTTTAATTTGTAATGCTGTACCATATTAAATCACTTCTTCATGCATGAAACAAAGGTATAAACTTAAACAGAGATGCAAAATGGAGGTCCTTATCAGAGCAAAACTGGAGGAACAAAATAAAGTGGCAGGACTAAAGTAGAGGTTCCCAAACTTAGTCTGCTGAAGTTTGGTCACTGCCGTTGATCACTACAGGACTGCTGGTGCCAGCAATGCTGATTTCTCTAGTTTTATAGGTATCTCTCAGAGCAGGACCTCTATGCTACATTCATCAACCTGTGAAACACACCTGAAACCAGGACCTGGCTCTGTGCTTCTGCCTCACTTAGTGGTTTATTCCACCTACTTCACTCCATCCTTTTCTCATCTGTCTTTTGACACCCCTGTACATCTATCTTTTGATCTACCCCTGTATTGCAGGGCCCCCTTTGAAAATTGCTCTCACAACAGTACCTGCTTAAAAGACATTTAAAATGAAATGGAAACATGGTGCTGGTGTCATGGGTGTAGCTAGGAAGTACTACAATGTTCCATGCTTAGGCAAGTAACTGCTCCCACAAACCCTTCTGCAGATAAGTATTGCTATCAAAGGCAGTTGAGTGCATTTGATTAAGGATAACATGCGATTAGTGATCTGCAAGGTGAGGAGTGCAACTTGGATCATTAATGAATATTCACATATTAATGCTGCTTTGAGCAAGAGGTTGAACTAGATGACCTCTGGGGTCTGTTCCAACTGGATTGATTTTTGATTATCATACTTGTATTATGCAAATAGGTATTTCATTTGTAAAAAAAAAATTAACTGAATAAGCTAAACTCTAGCAAATCGTTGCCATTATTTTACTTATTGCATCATGTTGTAGCATGGAGTTGCAAATTTCACCCAAGTTTAAGATTTAAAACAGTAAGAAAATACACCCATGCCTTTTTGTGTATTGCTTCAAATTCCTTGTATACAGTTTTATGTCAGTTTGAATTTCTTGTACAGCTATTCCTTCCTAGCATACAGTTGACTTGGTTCCAGTACTGGAACTAGTCCAGAGTAGAGTGTTGGAAATGATGCTTTATGTGCAGTTGAACTATATGAATGGGCTTAAGCTTATTTTGCCTAATTCGGGTACCACTTCTGTCAAGACTGTCGTAACAAAGCCATCAGTGCAGGTTAGCAGCCTAAGAAAGGCTTGAGGCCTTTCCAAACTTTCCAAAGCAAGGACTCTGAATGTGAAAGGGCATTCCTATATTGAAAAAAAAAAAAATTCCAAATCCACCACCACCCCAAAAAATACCCAACAAAACCCACTACTGTTAGAATATACTATGTAGATTCTGAGTATACACAGATGTTGAGATACAACTGGTTGAGTTTAATAAATAATAAATGTTAATTGAATATTAAGATGGACAGTATTTTTATCTAAGAGGTTGTATTTTGATTAATAATAGTATGATCCTTCTTATGTGCAGGGAATTCATATGAATTTCCTTCCTCTTTTTGGATAGCTTTTGTTTCCAATTGATACCTCTTTAACTGTTCTCATTTAGTGTTGTTAGTTATTTACTTTTAAGTGAGAAGTTAGTGATAAGAGAGGAAATCTCAAAATTACTGCCTGTATGTAAGCAAGTAAAGGACCAATCACATTCACATGCACGTGATCAGAAATGTTTTTATGTAACATTTTAACCCTTCCAAATATGTAAATGAATCTCAGTAACAGGATGTAGTTGTCATGTCTTATTGATAGCAGTGTGGATAGAGTTGTCATGTCTTATTGATAGCAGTGTATTTCAGGGAAACGTTTGGTTGTATGCTTTTATTTAAACTTACGAGGAGGATGGTAACATTGCAAGTATTATTTGAAGGACATGACATGTCTCTTGGACTTTCACGGAGTATAAAAAACAACTAAATGGAGTCAGAGGTGCTAGGAAGGAGTTATTTCTTTATGCTACTTTTCACCACAGAAATGTCATATACATTTTATTATTTTCAAAAAATATTGATGGGAAGTTATCTGATTATGGGATTAGAGAATCAAAAGACTGAATGCTAGAATAAAGTGCTAAAGACTTCTAAGTCATAAGGACTTGATGTTGTTCATTCATTTACTCATTCTAAAGGATGAAGTGGCTGATCTGCTAAGCAGAATGCATCTCATTAGGATGAGATGCTGTGCCAGAGGACTGGAAGCTATCAAGTGTTGTACAAACTGTACTTTTAAACTGAGCACAAGGACCAGAGCTGGAATTTGCAGACCAAGGACTCTTATTTTAATGCCACTTAAGTAGATTTGAATTCTGCATGGGTAGTCAAGTAGTTCTGTGAGCACAAGATCCAACAGCCACTAGCTTCCTATGTAGTTGTATCTTAGAGGGAATGAAAAATACCAGCTGCAGCTGGGGTAGTTGTAAGGTGTGTCTCTTACCTATGTGCTTGTTCCCTAAGAGCATGGGCATATGCTCCAGTCTGTACTTCAGTTTGGTCAGTGTCTGCGTTGGTCTTCTCTGTCCACCTGCCCAGTACTTGGAATTCTGAATTCTTAATAAAATGTAAATGACTTTTCAACTTTTGTCTTTGACAAACTTTGAAATCAGATGGTGGATTCAAAAGTTAGAAAAGGTCCAACCTAACCTAAGCAGACATGTTAAACAGCAGAAATCTCTTCTGTGATTAGCAATCTAAACAATGATCCAAGTTGCTTCTGTTGTTAGTGGAAAAGGCAGAGATGCACCCATGTATTCATACACTTACATACTGTGTGTAGTTCACCCCACCTTAAACTGGCAAGTCTATGGCCTATGGCAGGAAACTGTGACCCACGCAGTTCTGGTGTGGCCCTACAAGAACTCATTTTTGGTGCCATTGTGGGGATGATGAACTGTGATGCAGAGACAGAAAGTGATTTACACTTAGGTGACAACAGTACTTTCTTAAGTGCTGGCATTTGTAACTGCAATTAACTATGTGGTCTTGTTTGCTCACTTTCCCTGCAGCTGTATTAGCACAGTCATTTGTGCTGTCATGCAGTGACTTGAGTCAGAATATTGATCCTGAGGAGTCTATGGCAAGCAGCAATTTTTAACCCAAGTCAGTTCCTCAGTACAGTGTAGTAGGTGGCTCCATCAGAAGATACATCTGCACAAACGTGGTCATGGCACAAGGACGAGAATAAGCCCCATGAGGGTCGTCTCTGTTTGAACTGGTATTTTACCAGAATAGATGCTCATCAAATCTGTCTTAGATGTGGTTCATCTTGTCCTCAAATAAGCATCCAAAGTAAAATGCTGCATACATTCTGTAAAACGGGAGAAAGTTGTGAGGAACTTGAGGGCAGCCTTCTGAAGCTGGCTGTATTAGCATAACAGTGGTAGATGTGATTCAGTATTTGTAATTATAAAATAATTCAAACTGGAAGGAATAACTTGAACTGCTTGTAAGATAATTTTATATTGCAAGTAAACGTTCTGCAAAAATACATGTATCATTTTAGCTACCCTTATGAGAACTTCTTTGCAGAGAAGAAGTATATAATGTATAAGAAGACAGCCCTAAAATTTATTAAAATGGTGCTCTGCAGTAGCATTAAATGGAAGTTCTTTATCTAGGCATTTCTCCTCAAATGAATTGTCCATCTGGTTTCCTTAATTCCTTTATACTTCATCGATCACTGCATATGCATACCCTTCCTGTGGTTTTAAATGCTATTGATAAGCAACAAGTTCTTGAAAACTGACTAAAGTATTTTCAGTAAGTTTACACAAAATAAAGGTGCTGTATTTCTTGCTTTCAGTTCAATTCCTTCAAATTATCTGTAAATTTTCAATAATGGCAATACATTCATTCTGCCATTTGGAGGAGCCTGTGCCACAGATCTGAAGAAAGCTCACTTATTTGCAAGGAAGAGTCTTCATTTGGGAATTAGCACCGATGCAGCTAAGAGGTGCTTTCTCAAGTTCAGGTAAGTTTTCTTAAATTATCCTTATTTGGCTTCGGTATGCTGGCATTTCATTCAAATTAGCATATATGCAGGGTCCTGTCAGCCCCTTTGTGTTGGTCATTTGACACATGAAGTATCTTGAAATGAAAAGGCACATGCAGTAGCACACATACTTACGAGATGCACGGAGGGAAATTGTTGTGTGGAAAATAATTTTAGCACCACTTATTATCTCTGGAGTGGCTGTTTATGGAGAATATGATGATCTTAATGACACAATTCCCTTTTGCTGAAAACTTTTTCAGAATTTCTTATGTGTTTATTATGTGAATTTGGTATTTTGCTAAGCCAGGAGTTGTTCGATCTAAATGTTAGTTATTAGGTTTCAAATCATTCAGAGGAAGTAATAAGAAAGTCACAGACAGGTTTTCACAACTTGGAAATTGTTGTATTCAAAAAAATCAGCTTTTAATTTTCTGCCATTAATTTTTTTTTCTAAAGTGGATCCTTAAATCCTGGCATTGTAACACTGGATCAGAATTTAATTTTAGACAAATGGTTACAGTACATTGTATTTTTTTTTTCAAGACAACCAGTTATTTTTATAACATTAATGACTTCACAGCAGAAATTGGTTTGTAGTCATGTTCTGCATGGGAACTCTAGGCAATGTACATTCAAGAAGAAGTATTAGAAGTAGATTAATAAAATACTTGTGAATATTTAAACAGGTACTTGCATTTCTTTTTTTTTTTGTGTGTTCTCTCGCACAAAAAAGATGAGGATTCTCTCACTGAGAGAACTCACTTTGGGTTTGGTGTTTTAACCAGCAGCCAAACAAGTGATAATCTGGAAAAAATCCAAACAACCAAATGCTTCATTTCAGAATGGCAGGGTACAGTTTGTCACCCTTTTCAGTGGTACACAAATCTAGAATCTTTAAATGATACCTGTCAACCATGTTGCTAAATTACTGGATCATGTGCACCTTTGTAGACACATATATGATCTCAGATGCCTTAACAATACCATTTGTCTTGCTAAAAATCCTACTGAATTAAAAGTACTTGATTTTTCAAATTAAAATGCTACAATATCTTTGGGGTCTAGAAACTGAGGCTCCTGTTCTGTATGTTTTGGTGCACATACTTAACTTCTTATCAATCCCTTCCTGATACTAAGAATTTCAGTGACATGGAAAGAACATAATTTCTTTAGTGTAAGCCTTTAGTTTAGACCCCCTTATACTTTAAGAAAACAGGAAGATATGCTTTATAAATGTAGTGGATAACTAAAAATCAGAAACTAGTTAAGAAAAGCTTTTGAACTGTTAACGTACTCTGAACAGGAACAGCAGTAGTGAAGAGGAGGCTTTTGCTTCAGTGAACTTCTAAAAGTTGAAATGCATTTCAATAAAATCACAAACCACAGAATTCACAAAACAGAATTCATTCTGAAGATAATGCTTAAATTTTCTGGTCTTATTTTACAGTATGAATGTTATGAATAGTGTCCACCAGGTACAATTTTAAAATGCTTTTTTATAAATGCTACAGAGTTATAAAAACTGAGGGCTTTCACTTTAATATAGTTGAAGAACAAGATTATATTTTGAAGCTTATTAGGCTTTCCTTTTGTTGAGAAAGTGTTCTGGCTATACATGAAGTCAAACTTTTATTGAATACCATTCCACAGAACCCAAAGTAGGACAAGAGCAAAACAGAAACCAAGTTAAGTGTCATTCATAATAATGCTTACGATGTCTGTAATACAGATATTGAGAGCAGCAAGGGTATTTTTTTTTTTTACTCTTTTAACAGAGTTGTTATTGTTTCACCTCTGGGTTTTCTTCATAGATCAGTATTCTTGTACCTGAAGAGTAAGAAGGTAAAGTATTTGAGATTATATTATTTCAGCAAGCTGTTAACAGTAATTTCAGTTACTTGTAATGCATGCAAATACACAAAAATACTTGATTTATCATGCATCAAGAAGTCTTAAATGTTTTATATCAATTTCTGTTTTTTGGTTGTTGTTTTCCTTTTTTATCTGATGGGTGGAATTTCTGAAAGTATTCAGCTCTGCTTTCTAGATGTGTTTTCTGTGAAATCAATGAGCTGACCTGAGTGGGAATAAAGGTTGGTTTATCTTTAGTGAGACAAAGTTAAGTTGTCAATAACTGATGTTGAAATCCCATCCTTGAAATGCCAGGTCTTTGACATTCAGTGGGATGAGAATCTCAGAACAGACTACTGGGGACTCCCGAGCTACAGTTCAGGTAAATAACTTCTCTGGAGGCAGGAAATTAAAGGTTTCTTCTTTTCAAAATTATGATAATTAAGTAGCAAAGGGTGCAACTTGAACTATAAATACTTTCCATTTAACATTTAAAATAGATATGCCTATATTTGTGAGATGATTTGTTAGTTGCAGTTTGAGCGTGATACAGTTATTTAACATTTCAGCAGTACTGTTCCCCAAGAGTACTTCTATACTGACACAGAACATGAATGTCTAGTGCTAATTACAACCACATTTTTATTTTGTTTCCAACATGTAGCTATGAGTGTGTAGCTAGTTTAACTACTGCAGTTTCCATTTTGTAAAGACAGAGATGTCTTTTGGTAATGCATGCATAATTTAGAAATAACAGTTTTTATATTGGAGAACATTAGGGGCTCTGTTCAGATCATGGGATTAACTCGGTTTGTTTCCTGCTCCAGCTGGTCCCCCCTTTCTCCAGGAACAGGGACTGGGTAACTCAGTGGTTTGTGTTGTGACAGCTCAGTATAGTTTGTAACCTAGAGCTTTAAAGTCACCCGGAACTTGCAAAGTACAGGGGTGTAGCAGGTATTGCTACCTCAGTAACGGAGGCAGGAAATGTGGAGAGGAACAATGGCAACAGGAACTGTTATGGCCATCTCTAGTAACTTGTCCTAGTTCATCACCCAGGGTCCTCCTTCACTCTCTGTTTTTTGGGGGAGACTAGAAGGAAAAAGTAGAAAATTGTTCTGTAATTGTTAGAGAAAGAGCAATAAATTTTCCTGGTTACAAACCAAAAAGTTCTTCCTCTATGTGATAGCGTGTCAAAGAGAAAACATTAAAGACCTGGGGACTTGTTTTTAAGACTTACCCAATTTCAACTATAGACTTACTTCCTTGTCTTCTTCAAAATCAGAAAGATACTATAAAAGATCAGTATTTTGAGATCAAGATCAAGAATAAAAATGGAGAGTATTTTAAGATAAAAGATTACAACAAATCAAAGAAATACATGTATTACCATTTTAGACGTTTAACTTCAATGAGCCATTAACATCAATGAGATACATTTTGGATTTCCTATGCTCAGTTCTATAGGCAGTACAGAATGTGAGAGAAGCAGGTCCATCTGAAGTAGATCATCTGGTTTAAGAAAGTAAGCAACTATTCCTGCCAAGCAATTGGTTAAACAAAACTATTAAAATACAAGCGGGTTTATAGTAGCTTTCTAATTAAGTGGAGGAAGTATCGCATGCTTGTAATAAGTTCCATGTTCCTGATGATGAAAAATACAGGGGTTTTTTTTCCACCCTATAGAAATCAGTAATCCTTGTTGTTCTTGCCATGGGAGATACTGAAGGATTGGGGTCAAATTTATGCACCTCTTGAATTTGTAAAGTTACAGAAAATCTGAGCAACAGTAACTTAGAGTTTTTTATTATTAAAAAATGTCGCATAGCAGACAGCACATTCAAACTTAGAGAAGTGATGTACTTTAAGAGACAGTTCCTATCACTGTAGGTAAGTATACACCATTAGCACTTTAAAATAGAAGTATCTGAGCCATATATAAGCTCAGAGCTCTCTCTGTGGCTAACGCATGGATGGATTAGGTTTATGGAATACCTTAGTTCCATTCCATTCCTCCTTGGAACACAGTTAGCTTCCTGCCCCCTCAGAAAGACGTATCTTAACTTGTTCTTGGGACTTGGGTTCCAAGAATGCCTGAGGGAGGACTCATTGGCTGTGCAAGCTGATGTATAGGTTACCTTAGGGCTTAACAACAAATGCAGAACCGTTGGCAGCACCCAACATGCTATGCTGGTTTTGGTTCCCAGCATCATGACATTCTTTTGAGAGCAGGCCCAGAAATTTGTTATTGTGGTCATCAATATCCAGCTTAAATACTCTCCTCTTGGATCACACCATTTTAGTGTTGTCATATTGAGCTGGTTGGTTATGTTTGTGAAGGAGGAGACTCTTTTGCCTTACCTGCAGTACAGCTATGGGAGTTCCAGGGTCTTCCAAGAGAGGATATCTCATTCCTGACATGCTCACCAAGAAGAGATGATGAAGCCCGTGTAGTGCCTGGTAGATTAGCTTCATTATCATACTGTGGAATGGGTTATTATGTATGTTATGGAATACCATCTTACAGGATACAAATACTGTACTTGTTATCAAATGGGGAGTCCAATCAGTACATCAGAGAGGGAGAGTCAATGACTTGAACTGCAGTTTCTGCAGCACTGTGAATACAGCAGTCATTTAGAGACCTGGCTTTGGGATTCCAGATGCTTCAAAAGGACAGTGGATCATTTTAAGCCACTCTTAAATTAAGGGGCTAAGTTTTTCACCTTGCAGATGGGTGAAGTGCCCTCTGCTTTGGTTGAGTTAAGGACTGTGTTTAGAGACTTACCTTTTTGCTCATATCTACCCGTTGTTTTCACAACTACTTCTGGAATTGGTTTCCTCTCTAGCTCATTAGTGAAGAAGATGATGATTCTTTAAGCAATGTCTGTTTTGGCACAGCTTTCTGCTTCCAAACACCATGTGAGGGTGTTTACTTTAGAGTCTTACCTGTTTCTGCATCTGTTTTTTTCTCTACTCCATTTTTGTCTTTCAGTGCAGCTTGCTGTGGACTAGTTTCCTACTATATCATTTTAGTGCTGGAGACACCAGTCGTATATGTTCCCACCCTCCAACCTTGTTTATCTGTCTATGCTTCACACAATAAAGGGTAATGAATAAATACTTATATCTCTTGGGGCACAGCATGGGGCCAGAGGCAAGTGCTATGTGGAGTGAATTTCCTAATCATGTTTTATTCAGCAGAATACATATCCAAGATTAATCTCACCTTAGTAACAACAAAAGGAGGACCTCTGAAGATTTGGAAAAAAGATTTGGCTGAGGGATTTGGGGAAAAAACGCTTTGGAATCTCCAGGAAAAAGAATGATTTTCCTCAGTTTTCACCCTGATGAGAATTTTAAAATTTCTATTCTATTCTGTTCTGTTCTATTCTATTCTATCCCACAGTTAGAAAATTCTTCACGTGTCAAAAGGAGTAGTGAAGTTGATTTATAAGTAATAACTTAGAGTATTGCATCCTTCACAATGCTTTCTGTATGTAAAAAGTATTTTAGATTAATTTGTTACAGAATTTCATACCATTGAGAAATTCCAATTTCTGTATATAAGGGACTACATTAATTGGCAGGTCTTTAAAGTGCTCTGTTAATTATTTGCAATGAGATAATTTTTCTAAAGAGAGATATGTTTACTTAACAAGATTTTCTTTATAAGTATGTCCTTCCTATTTATTTAACAAGATTTTCTATATAAGTACGTCCTTCCTATTAATTTATGACAGGATGCTACTATTATAAGGATTGTATTGTTGATTTTTATTTTCCTTTTTTTTTGGTTCTTACTGAGGTTGACCAAATAGCAAACAAAAAACCACGAACTTTAAAGTAACCTCAGTTTGCAACACAGATCCATCTGTGAGACCAAGTTTAAGCTATATATATATATAAAATTACTTATTTTTAATATACCTACCGTGCATTCTATGTGCTAGCTAGGTTGTGGTCAGTACAGTTCACTTTTGATAGGGAAGTTACAGTTACAGTTGCAGTTAAAGATTCCTGAGAGCAGGGGTCTTATTTTCGGGGGAGATGGAGTTAGGGAGACAAAACCAATGCACGTATGCATTTATCTTGAGTCTGGTTTGGAAGCTATTGTAAAACAAGTCATAAGTAAGGAGGAAAATGCATTCTTGTTCTATCGGGTGATTCTGGTGTCTCAACTCAGTTGTCTGGGAGTTACCATTCATAGTTGTCCCAAGAACCCACTTGTTAAAACATTTTTTTTTTGTTTCTTTTTCTCATTTAAGGAATACTTGGAGAAGTTTGTTCCTTCAGAAGCAAAAAAGATGGCTTGTTTTTAATAGCACAGCCTGAATTTGCAGATGCTGTTTCAAACAACTAAATAAAGTATAGATATTGGTGGAAGTAATATAGTGCATCTGAAATAAAGGGATTTTGCTGGATAACTAATTGCCTGTTATTGTCATTGGCAAGTCAGAGGTAATTTCCAAAGCCGTAGTCTGGCAGAGGAGGAGTATTTACTTTTATGTGTATTTTTCAAGCCAAAACACACACTTGGCTTTTACCAGTGTTTTTATGAAGATTCAAAATTACCACAGTATTGTTGCTGAAAAAAACCAGTTCATTTACAAAAAAAAAAAAGTATTATGAAAAGAATGGTGACACCTGAGTGGCACACAGAAAACTCTTGTCAGCTGAACTCCTGACAGAATCTGGCAGAAATTCAAAGTCTGGTTTGTCTCTAGTAATTCCATTAACATTTCAAAGGTTGATGATGTTCTGGGAATTACACAGGAGGGATTATTTTTTAAGTTAAGAATTAGTACTCCAAAGCTTTGCCTGTGCTAGGAATATTGTTGCAAGACGTAAATGGACTATATCTGAGACACTAAGTTCTCTATCAGACATTTTTGTACTTTATCTGTACTGGCATAATTAAAGTATCAGCCACCTTTCCCTGTAGTGTGAATAGAGCTGTATCAGTATAAAACTGTATATACTGGTAGCTTATTTCCAGATAGAAGGAAACAACCTAGGACGGCTGGCCCAATTCCAGAAATTGTTTTTAATTATGTTGCAGTTGCTATGCCTGTATAAACTCTTTGTATTGGAGACCTTATACCAGGTGAAAGTGACTTCATTCTAGTTTATTTGCCCTTATCCATACAGCCCCATAAAAATTTACACCACTTCAGTTTCGTACATTTGATTTGTCTTTGTGGGCAGACTTGCTCTTTGCACTGACTTATCTCCATTTATGCTAGAGGATATAAATGGGGAGTGTTTTGACAATGAAAATGCTGCATCTTCCTTTCAGATGTAAGCCTAATCTATTCAATTAATACTAGAACAAGCGCAGTTTAGTGTGAAGATTAGAATATTTTCATCTGGCTGCTCGCACCAGAGTCTATGGAGCAGGTATCCCCAACCCAAATCTTAAAAATTCTGTTATTCAGTATGGAACACAATGTCTTACGTACTCTTATCAACTTTCAACTACTGTTTTACAGATCAGCTTCTTGCCTCACTTTTCTGCTGCATAAATGAATCTTGTCCAGTATGTGTTACCTAAGAAAGAGTCAGGAAGGTTGAAGTCAGAATATCAGAACTCAGATCACATGTGAATAAGGCTGATCTGCATGTGCTAGTTCTATAAAGATATTGTTGAGCAGATTCAGATGATCTCTTTTTTAAAGCTACAGATGAGGGAAAGATCTTTGATCCCATCTTGAAAGGTGGGGAGGGGATTGTGATGGGGAAAAGACTGAAAATCAGTATAACCCTCTGTTCTAAGCCTGGGAGCAGTAAAGAAAGGACCTTGTCGGAGACTAACTCGCAGGAACGGAAAGAGCCAAAAGCCCAGGGACCTTTGACCATTCAGAGAACGTTCACTAGCTTTAATTAGCTGCTCTCTGTCCTATGCTTATTGACTGTTTCTTCCACCTTTTTGCCATCCATTCTACTTCTTTACTTCCGCTTCATTCCTGCTTACTACATACGCTTCCCCTCATCCAGTCTGCCCACCTTACCCTGTATCTCCTGTTTTGTTTGCAAGCAAAAGCCACCGACAAAGCAGAACTACTGTTAACGTTTACTATGGTGCTGCTGTTTGTGCTCTGTGTGAACTTTTCCCCCTGTTTGGTCTGCTGTTTTTAATATGCTCAGGGAGCTTTTGCTGTTCTGCGTATATACACTATCCAGCATAATGAAACTTCAATTTTCATTAATCCTTGGAGGACCTTAACAATGATTAAGAATAATGTTCCTTTATTCTGCTCTTTTATTAAAAAATCATTTATAGGCAAATGACCACCCTTAATGAGATGAGGTATATGAGATTTCATGGGGTAAAAGGAATTTTTTTGCTCTTGCAGTTTTTCTATAGGTGAACTGGTGATTTAAAAGTATAATGTTACAATTCTAGTTATATTAGTGTCCAGCACAAAATGATGAACATTTCAGAATTAATTTTATATTGACTATGTTTGCATTGCACTTGCAGTGGTTTGCAAATTGCTGTTTGGTTTTCCATGTCTTACAGCTATATCATTTGCTTTCTAGAAACCATTTTGGTAGGTGTGGGTTGCTTGTCAGAAATCCATTCCGAAGCTAGAGTGTGAAGCAAGCGGGGTACTAATGATGAATATGAATGGGTATCTTAAGGATAACAATGGATATGGCATCTTCAAAAGCAGTGGCATTCTGGTAAGAATTTGCATGTAATTTATTAAACAGTACTTGATAATTCTCAGTAAAATGTGTTTGTGTATCTCTCTGAAGATTTGTCTGACAAATTTTTCTTTTAAAATGTGAAAAGTAGGAGGATTGCTCTATATCATGCAGCATTTTAAATTCTGAAGCAGCGTACAACAACTTTACTTAGCAGTGACTTCTTGCATATAAAAACAGTGAAAGTATCTTTTTAGAAAAGTAAGTTATTTTAGAGAGGCTGTTAGTAGCCATTTATGGCTCACTGTTTGTGAGCCTGTTTCTCTGAATATTTAGAACTGAATATTTTTGAACTGTTATTTAAAAAAAACACAGCTTTTTCTTTTTTCGCTCAGAGTATGTTATAACTAACCCCTGGTGGCATATTTCACCACTACACATGTAACTGTTCTAACAGGCATTGCATCCAACTTTGCAGGAGATAAGAAACACATAATTATTGACAAACTAATCAAAGCTGGAAACTTTTAATCCTCATATAGGTTAAAACACATATAATGGCAGCATGCTAAATTACTGTACTGATACTACTTTGTTGGAAGTTTCACAGTATTTAAGTAATGTACACAATTAGAAAATGCAAATAGAAACACCAGTGAAAGTGCTATTGAAACTGTACTGTAGTAGAAGTGATTCCTTTTAATTTAGTATTTGAAATAACTTAGGCCAACAGTTCTTTAAGGAAAAATTCTTGTTTTCACCAGAGCCATATTCATACCTGTATATACTATATATTGACTTGTTGAAATCTACGAAGAATGTGTGCCTCTTTCTTCCTACTCTTTGAATCCCACTGGTGGTTGATATTGCTGTGGAACTGATCTGGTAGCAGCTGGCAGTTCTTAAAGCTTCTTTGTAAGGGTATTTCGAGGTGCTGGGTATGTATATGCTATGTAGTAATGAGCAGCACAGACACTGAGTGCTCTTCTGATGAACTAGTTTCATAGCTGATACAGCTGTTCCAGCAGAGTGCTACTGCCAGTGACATTGGGGTTTTGACACACCTCAAGGACTTCTAATTTTCTCATGCCATGCAGAAAACTGTGGTGGCTGAGGAGCTGATTCACAAGCAGATTAGGCATTAATCGGATAGAGTGTGTTGGTCAGAGGGCTGGTGGTTAATGTCTGAGACTGGTAACAGCATTCAGTCCAGTGCGTGCCTGTCAGAGGCCTTAGCCCTGCTGAGAGGCAAGGTTAAGGAGCTCAGATGCATCCTTATGCCAACACAGATACTTCCTATGGGCACCGGATGAGAGCAGGAAAACAGTAGTGTATCTTCGGGGCAGGGGGGGACAGAGTACCAGCTAAGCTGACAGAGGGAACTGCACCGTGTTCAGTTCCACAGTATGGACATGCATCATAACAGGCACCTAAGGCAGCAGTAATTAAAACAGAGTATCCTCAATAAGATACTGGGAGAGGAAGTACAGGGAATGCCTGGTGGATGAGTTCCTGAGAGGTCTGTGCCGGACTCCAAAGGTCTGATATAAGTGCATAAGCAGTCTCCTTATTTAAAATTAGGTGGGTATGGAAGGTGACTAATAATGACTTCTATTAAATATCCCTTTCTGTAACTTTCAGCTTTTCATTTTTACTTTCTAGCTGGGAGGGAGATAAAATCTGGCCCTCAAAGTGCTGTTTACTTATTCCAGTGCCAAAATGCAAAACACAAATCAGCAACTGTAATTTTAGGGCATACTAGGTTCCTTCAGCTGCCCTGTACAAATATGCATGTTAGATATATGAATATAAGCTTAGATACCTGTTTTGGTGTATTTATAAGTGGGTTTTTAAACTGCTATAATTCTGTAGGCTAATATAGTAACTTGGGATGAGGAAGTTAGGCTGCTTACAATTTTTTTTTCTTTTTTTTTTTTTTTTACAAGGCTAATCTTTTCACTCAGGTTCATTGCACAGCAACTGTTTGGTAGTTATTTTATCTTTCTACATTTTAAACCAACATCTAGAGGGGAAAAGGGAATTATATCTTCTTAATTTTAAATCCCCTCAAATTCTGAAGGATGATATCAATGAAGAAAAACCTAGTTTGCAACTTCCATGTCATAGAGGTATCTTACCTTAGTTGCAGTATTTATAAAAGTCAAGTCTGGAGTGTCTTTTTCTGTTGATCTTTTCTGAGATGACTGTACTGCCTGGTATTCTTTCAAGTAAAACCAGTTAAGTGATTGACTTGTAAACGAGTTGACTGCAATTTAATGCTTAATTCCTCTTTTGCTGAATCATTTCTGTGATATTGACTTAATTTGTGACACTTTAGTAGGTGCAAGCCTGAGGGGGAAAATGTTATAGTTCTTTCACAATTCATTAGTTTGTGGATATTTGTTATGTTGTTTCCACACTGAATGACTCATATGTTAAATGAACTTGCCAGCCTGAAGGCATGCCCTCACTATTGCAGCCCACAGTGAAACTCAATGCCATCACACATAAAAATGTGGAAGATGCTCTCATGCCCATTTGGATCCTTGAGAAGCTTTGTGCACTTTGGACATGCGTGGTAGCAATTACTCAATATACATTCTTTCAAAAAGCTGTGCTTTACAATGTCTGATTGCTCTTTTTCACACAACTTGCTTAGTTTGTAAGCTACATCTGTCATATGAGCATAAGGTGGAACTGAAAAATAGTGATTTTTATTTTTATTTAATAAAGTGGCACAGTTTCAGTGTATTCATTTCTGGACTATTTGATGAGAGACTATAGAAGTCACTGATTTGCATTGCCACCTGTGTATTTTTAAAGTATTTAGACAGATTCAGAAATTGTTCTATTTGGGAAGTCGATAGCACAGATCTAATGCTCTCCACATTGTAAAGACACTAATTAGTATTAGATTGAACCATTTGGCCCCTGGTTATCTTAGCTCTCCTTGAATCTTGGCTTTCTTACCAATTTAATTTTTTATTGTCCTATAAGGATGTGAAAGACAAACCAGAGTTCCCTATTAGTAACATCAGATAAATTATCACTTACGTTACAGAAGCTTAGCACCAGAATGTTGCAAGAAGGTTCTTTAGTATCTGTAATAGGGAGAAAGGATGCACACTCACAGCGGTGAGATGAGAGAAAAAGTTTTGAAAAGTACATGAAGTAAAATTTTTCTGATTGTTTTGAATCCTTAGGACTTTTGGGGGTTTTTCATCTGCCATATAATATTAACTCTAAGCTTGACTTGATTCATATATTGAAAATATGTGCATGGCTCCAGAATTTTTGTTCTCTAGGTGACAGAGCTGTGGTTTTGATAAGAATAAGACATTGCTGTGACAGGATGGATACAACATATCACAAGTCAGGTATTCCGGCTTTTAAATAATGGTCTTGTTCTACCATACATGGTATGTAGCGGAGGAGTTTATGCCAAAGTGAACAGATGCATTCATGGGAAGACCACTCTTTATCATAAATTTTTCACTTAACACTTCTCATGGTTGTACACTGGGTGCAACTTTTTCTGTTTATGTCGCTGTTCATTTTCAGGAGGAGGTTGTGATTGCTCACATAACTACTTTCACTGATGTGGAGCTTGTCTATCCCATCCCTTGTCAGGTTTAGGCTTTAAGACCATAAGCACATTAATAAAAACGATATGCACCTATTAACAAAACTGATCACAATTTCCACAGGAAGTGCTGGAAGGTAATGATTAGTAACCATTTCAATCCTGTTTCTAATTCTAGCACTCCAGATCAAGTCATCTCGGGTCACTCAAGTGTCTCCCTAAAATGGTATAAAACATATAAAGATGTAACAATACTACTGTTTATTCTTCAAGTGATGTTGAAGTATAGGCAAGGAGAGGAAGGAGGTAGCAAAGTGAAAATACATCAGAAATAACTGCTCTGGCCAGACAGATGTGTTTGAGAGGATGGAGTGTAGGTGCATAGGGTGGTATCTCTGCTGCCTCCTGTATAGCTGTATTTGCTTGTAATAAACCTAAGTAGCAAGATCAAGGCAGAAAGCAGACATGCTGGTACATTCCACGTGCACAGGTGTAAAAGCTGCCTCACCAGACTGTACTTCTTGCAGTCTTCTCTGTTCTGAATCTTTGGCTTGTCAAGAGCCTTTCTTGGTTTGCTAGAGAGATCCTGGAATCTTGCTCGTGTCTGCTACAGCATGTACAGTTTTAGTCCTGCTCTCTCACTTTCCCACCTGTTTCAGAGCGTTTTTTTTTCTGTTCCTGAACTGTGTGATGAAGATGAGCAGCTTCAAGGCAAAGTTTAGGCGCTGAGTTTTGAGGAACAAATCACGATTTCTTCCAAGCACGGAGGTGGTGCATCGATGTCAGGGGCTGCCGGTACCTCTTCCTTTTCCTGTCGAATCCTTCAGTGCTTTTCTCCTGGGGTGCTGTTTTCACCCGTGGCTGTGCTCAGCTCTGCCAGTCTCCGAGCACACGGAGGTTTTGCGCTTGAGCACGTCCGGGGGGTTTCTCCGCGATATCACTGATCGAGCCAGCGCGCTCAGAGGACTCTCCCTGGGAATGCTCAGGGCGTCGCTTGGGAGGCTCCTGCCCGAGCTCGGCGGCATTAGGACCCGGCGGCTTCTTCCTCCCTCCCTGCGTTTTCCCTCCCTCCCGGCGGCCCCGGGGAGCAGCAGCCGCCCGCAGCCGGCCGGGCCCGGGCCGGGGTCGCGGCCGAGGGAGGGACCTTTGCCCGCCGGCCCAGCCGGTGCCCGGGGCAGGCGCCGCGCCCGCTCCGCGCCGCCGTCGTGTCAGTTTTCCTTCGTGCGTGTGTGGCATAAACTTAAATCTTCCTTTAGTGGTTACACAGTGGATTGTGGCAAAGCGTTCGTGTTCAAAAACGTGCCCTGGATAATGTTAAAGTACATCCCGTTTGATGCCTACGTGATATTAACACTGCAAGGCAGGTGTGCTGCCTCCACTCCCAACTACTGCGTGTCCTGCTGAACTCTTTACCGTATAATATTTAAAACAAGATGTTAAAAATAAGAGTTCTGACCGCTGAATTAAAGTGGAGCAGAAGCTGATATATTATCTGACACTTGGCTTCTATAGTGCCTGTCACAAAGTAATGGCTCTTTTAAACTGTACATTAATCATCAACAAGTTCAGAAATGTCTGTTTCAGTCCAGGAACCTTTATTACCAAATAAATAGCTTTCATACTGTTGGAATGAGCAAAGAAGTGCCCTTAACAAGAAATTCCTTCACACCTAAATGAAGTTAGTTTACACCTTCTCCCCCATGAATTTAGTTTATTGCTATTACCCACTGTTCACTTAAAACGGGGAAAAAAAGCATGGGCCAACTTTGCAGGTAAACGTACAGTGAAGTATATTTCAAGTTAGGTGCATTCAAAACATCCTATTGAGCATATAATGTCTTTAGAAAAGCAAAATGTTCCCTTTACTTTAGAAAGTGATCAGTATTTCTCAGTAGGGTGTGTTATTAAAATGTTTGCAGGCAAAAGCTATGCAACTGAAAGGCAAATCTGCCAAGTAACAGTTCTTTCACTCAAATATGCAGCCTGTGAAAACAGCAAAACAGAGTAAGTTACACAAGGAGAATAATTTTTATGTTCCAATATCCTGGTGGTGAATGGTCTGCTGCTTTCAGGACATAGATGGAAAGGTATGTTGCCTTTTGGGTTCAGAAATTTTATACTGTCTTTGTGCAGCCTGTTAGCTTACTTTTATTTCAGGCAGTTTTTCTGTCATTACAGGCAGTAAGGTCTTCCTAGACTCATAGTTGCCCATTGGCTGAAATTCCCTTCTCTGCCAGAACCAGTACCCATGCCTACATTTGAGTATCATCACGTGAAGTTCATGTAGCTGTTTAAATTTCTCAGTTTCTTGTGTCCTAGTACAAGCTGTATACTCTCTATCCAAGAGAGAGTTCCCAGGCAGTCTTTCTGGTTCTGTGTGCTCTATATTATTCATGTTTTGTGTCTTCATTTATACCTTCTACTGTACCGCGTGATGCTTCGGCCATTTACTTCTGCCCTGTTTACCTGCCCTAGCCCCAGCAAGTGCCAACCTCCCATTGATAGTGCTGGCAGCCTCTCCTGTTCCACCACCTTCAGAAAATAGAATATTATCTTCACCTTCCCAGATACAGTGGGAAAAATCAAATAAAATATATGAAGCCACATCCTTACACTCTATTTTGTTTTTACCCTGCCTATCCTAGTAAAATTAGGACTCACTGCTCTTTGAGAAAATTATAATTTTTTCCATGTTTTTGTAGTGACTAATACAACAGGACAGTATGGTTTTTAGTATATGCAGTGACAATATGTATTTCAAACTAAACCAGGATGATCTGATCAAGATAACCAGGCAGTAAAGTGGTGGCATACTAAGGATTTAGTGCTTAAGCTAATTCTAGCTGCCTTGTTAGTGGGTGATCAGTAAGTAGTCACTTTTTGGGTGCTTGTTAGGAAGATCTGTGATGAGAGTACTTGTTAAAATAATTCTTTAAAAAAGTGGTAAAGGGAAAACTGTTCAATGTCATGTCTTCGAAGAATAGACAAACTTCTAAGAAGCTGGCTGGGATTGTAAATCACGAAAAGTTGCATTTTAGGTAGAACCTGCAGTGAAGGAGAAAATGAGTTTATAGTCGTGCTGTTTTTCATTTTATCATGTATTTGCCTTTGCTGCTTCCATAAAAGCTTAATGTGTCCAAACTTTAGTTGTTTCAAAATCTTCTAGGTATAACTATACTGTTGTTAATGAGCTATTAATAGAATTTAATGCAAACTGTAGGAAACATTACTGTGACATAAATAAAATTTTAATAATGAGATCAAGTTGCTATTCTTTTTCTTTAATTGATATTTTTACACAGGCATTACCATATTTGTTTAAACTGTAATACAGTTTCCTGTTTCACTAGTAAATACATCCTAAGCTTCAGTTGATACTAACTCCAAATAAGTTGCTTCCTGATTTCTTTATGTAGTAACTGATTTGATCTATAATATCATTGATAGCAACATTGTATTTAGATTAATAACTGAATTTCCGTGACAATCAATATGAATGGATGACATATGATGTGAAAAAAACATTTCTTCTTGTCAGTTTTGAATTTTCCGTACTTTGGATGTTTCTTTGTATTGTTTTCTTGTCTTGTAAGATAGCAAGCATAGAAATGTCTGATCTGATGTCTTTACAGCAGTGATTATTTTACATGTCCATGTATAAGACTTCGGATTTTAAACTTTCTAATTTCTCTTCCTAGGAATTTCTCATGTGTATTATTGTCCACATTTGAACCCTATCCAGCTTTCTAGTACCCTTTTGGAGAAGGGGTGACCTCTACCTCATATGGGATTTTCTTTTTCTGGTAAGGTCAGAGCATTGATTTTTTATAATCTTATTACACTGGCTTTCTTCTAATTCTCTTCCATTGTTTAAGCTGCCTGTTTTATTACTCTTATTTTGATTGTAGTGTGGTGTTGAGCAGAGATTTTCACTAAACTGCTGCAGTGGGCCCTGGTTCCTTCCTGAGGCCAAAGCAACTTGTGTACTTTCCCATAACTGACATAATGAACAACTTCCATTAAATAGAGCAATCCTATCACTATACCATAACATAGGACCAAACACTTTTTTTTAAATACACTTTGTAGTTAACTATTTGCTATTAAAGAAATCTATTATAATGAAATCAATCATTTAATCCAATATTTTTCCCTGTTTAGATTTTTATTAGGTGTTGATCTATGATTGCCTGTGTCCTCATTTTTTTGCTTGCTTGCTTCAGTATGCATTCTCCTGCTACTTCGGGCTATGAAAGAACTTTTCTGTTATCTAGATCATTAGATCTGGAGCAAGAACTAGATTATCATCAGTCGTAGTTGTTCTATTCTGTTCCTTTTTTACGTGATGCCTAGTATGGCTTTTGCTTATTGTTTGTGTTAGGATTAGATTTCTAAATTTGTGTGGGACTCCTATTTGATTATTCAGCTAATTTCTTGAAGCTCATTGTTTTTTCATAATGTTTTATTATCCTTTTCCCAGCAATAAGCATGTTTTTGGAGACCCTGAGAATTTCTTAGCATATAAGATATGTCAGTGGGGTTTGCTTCATTATTTTGGGCTTTAGGGAACTTTTTATGTTACTGAAATCTCTTTTTTAATAGGGTAGATTTCAAGTTCAGTGAGTTTAACAGGGAGAATCGTACATTGTGGGGCATGAACTCTTCACATATATGAAGGGACTCCTTCCATTTCTTACTTTTGCTTTTACCAGTCCTGCATTTTACCATTTTCTCATCAATAGTTTATGACATGTGTCACGCACATGACAAGGGTTTCCATAGTTTGTTTCCTCCACTCTGCTTTTTCTGCCAAAAATTCTGTATGTGTCCTGGATCCACCCATACCTTCCCATCTCTCTTATTCTCCCTTCTTCTTTTGCTGTGTTGAATTTTCTTGAGGATTTGCCCATTGTTCACACTGGGTAGAAAATAGCTGGTGCCAACCATGAACACATTCCAGCTCTTTGTTATAGGATTGAGGAATTTAGGAAATACCAAAGTTGAAGTTGATGCACACAGCTGTGCATCATCTACAAGGGTTGTGTGTGTAATTCTATGATAATTACATGATCAGGTACTGTTTAATAAAATGCTTGTTTGTGTAATTGTAAAATATTAGTTCCTTTGATTTTAGGCACCGCACAGACATGGGCTGAAAAGATGATCTGCAATTTTAAATGTTGGCAATGTAAATATAATACAGTTGAAACCAGAAAATATACGCTAATAAATATAATAATAAAATATATAAAATATAGATGAGAAGGGAAATGCTAGTAGTTAGGGCAACATTCATACTTTAGAGATCCAGCTCAGGTATGTAAATCAAAAGACTGATCGGCCTAGGCTATTTCCATAGCTTATACAGAGACTTATACAGTTTGGAATGTTTCAGGAGTTCTTTCAACCAAATCACTCTCAACAGGAGCCTCTCCATTTACTGTATAGTAGGATACGTCTCCTACATCTCACTCTTGCTTACTTTAGACACTTAAAAATACGTGATGTGTATATAACTGCTTATCACACGTTTCGCTCGTAGGGGCTGTAGGGTCATGTTAGTAAGCTGAATTTCAGAGAAAGCTTTCAACAACAGCAATGCAATATGTTTTCAAATATTTAAGGGAGTTTCCATAAAGTGTAAGGCACAAAACAGAAAAAAGCATAAGAAGTTTGTGTGAAAATACAGTGTGTGGGTGAGAGAGGAGCTGGGAACTGGACTCCTGATGCAAGAAGCGTCTCTTGAGTTTTATTTTTTTACCAGTAAAAAGTGGGGGTTTTGAAAGTGTTTTAGCCAAACACAAAATAATAATCAAATTAGACGGTATGGTGTAATGGTCTTCTAAGCTTTATGTTTCATGAAAATTGTTCCAGCTTCAAATGGTAGCAAACCACAGCTGGTCTTCCTTACAAAGATTAAGGAGCAATAGGTGTGGTGGTGATAAGCAAGGATGGGCCTTGAAACTGAAGACAAGCAATAGATATTGCAGAAGTAGCCAGGGAGAGCTGTGGAGACTGATGTGTTCTCCAAGCAATCAACTAGGAAAAGGGTCTTTGCAGCAGTTTTCTGAGTGAATGCATGCAATATTAGGCTGTGTTTCTTAAAGGCAGAGAGAAAAAATGTTGCTGAATCAAACGATGATGGTGATTAACCTGATTGAATACTTCAGCTCTTCGGAAGAGTATACCATCTTGGAAATGTTGCACTGAAAGTAGCTGCAAATTATGAATATGAATCTTGGGATTTGGAGTATATTTGGGATCTAAGGTGATGCTAGAGTTATATGTCTGAGCAATAGGCAGGATGATGGTGTGGCTATGCAGCTTGGTGTGCGTCACCACCAATCAAGTCATTCATATGGAAACTGTATATATCTGTCCTCAAATATAATTATATTATTTATTATTAGGTTTTTCACTCCTGCAATTGCTTGCCACATAATATTGCTTAGAATATATCCCTACCTATCACAAAGGGTTGGACATTAATTGTTGAGTTTGGTTTGTAATGTCATGGTAGGGTGCCTAGGATGAAAAGATATGTTTTGTATTTGCTGGGAATGCACTGATCTTTTCATTTGGTTTATAGTAATAGTGAACACTGGATACAGTAATTTCTTTACAATTACATTATGAAGTTAAGTCTTCTAATAACTATACTCTGTAGTATTTCAGTATTTCAATAATAATTGATTCTTTTCCTTATCCTGATACTGCCTGACAATGTAAGAATTCTCCCCAAGAGGAGGAAGCTTTCAGTTTGCTTGAGGCTTTTATAGTCAGGTTCCATACCAGCCACAGTCATCTTTTGTTTCCCCCTTCAGCACATCCCAGAACTCATAGGTTGAGAAAGGACAGAGGAAATAACATCTGCTCTTGGCTAATTTTCCACTGGCACATAGTCATATGGGCATGGTAGAAAATAGGTATGAATTCGATTGCTTCTAGGTATTTTTCACTTAAACCAGAGATGAGGAAACTTTAGTATCAAGGAGGCATAACTGAAGAAAAAAAAATCAAACAGCTTTTTATTTTCTTTCTTATTATTTTTTTAATAGATACATTTCCACCAGGTGTGGAAATCTAAACTGTTAATGCATTTTTTCAAGAGCAAGAAGAAAGGTTGTCTTAGGCATCTAGTTGTTAGGTGTCCAGATTAAAAAGTTAAAACTTGTAGTATGCTCAGGGAAAAGACATTTAAAATTGCCTTTTCTCAGAAATGTAACTCTGGGAAGGAATTTGATAATAGCCCATCAATAGTTTCAGGTTATTCAGAGAAAGAATAGTGATAGCCAGGTAAGGCAGTAAATGACTCTTTGCCTGCTAAAAATTTGTGAAATGGTAAATTTGTGAGCAAATCTGCCCTGCTGGCATGCTCAGCTCTTCAACCATAGTATGCTTACAGAGTGACAGCCAGGTTTGAGTCCATAAGTCTTTTGAGATAAAACAACCAAAATCTGGCACCATTAATACAGTGTTATAGGTGCTTTACCATGCACCAGTTTTGGACATGCATGTGGTATATAAGTGGGAATTCAACATTAAAATGGAAATAAAGATTTTTATATCTATCCTGAGCTAGCACCAACTCTTAAGAAGACAAAACCATTACCTTTCTTCACAAATTTTGGAAATCTCATCTGCCTTGCATACCTCTGAGTTTCCTCATTCATAAATACTTGCAGTAAAGTCAGTTTCTCATCTTGGCAAAAAGGGCTTCTAAATGTCCATTAGAAATAATAGCAGTTTGAGTCCTTACCTCTCAATCAGTGCTATAGGCAAACCAACGTCTCACTGAATTTCATGTTAATGTACGCATGTATCTTGAGATGATTTTTACACTTATTAATTTATTTTATACAAAGGATCTTGCTGCATCTTAAGCCATCCTGTAGGAGATACAAAAGTAATCAGAGATAGCTGATAGTCTTGAATGTTTTTTCTGTGTAGAAAGTGTGTTCATACCGATTTATCTGGTTACATGCTGGTCTCTGAAGGCATAACTCTACTATAGCAATGGGAAGAATGGTATTATACTCCTGAACCTCATTCTGTCTTTAGTCTGGCTGTCTCAAAGAGGTTGGACCAGTGAAAGGTGCAAGGTGCAGCAACATTTAACAGGCATGATGAATTGGCTGTTACCCCCTCCTGGCTGACAGATAGCCAAGGGAAAGTCATAGCTAGAGAGAAAGCATGGACCCTTTCCTGGGGTGGATGAAAAGAGCTGGTGTTGACGTTTGGATGTTGTGATGCTCCGCAGTGTAGCCTGTGAGTCTGTGGGCTTGATGCACCATAAACCTGATACTCCTGGAGTGTCTTTGCTGCTGCTGTCACAGCTTCCTGATGTACTAAAGTCTGTATTTCAGTGGGCAAACCTCGTTATAAGGGAGGCATTTTTTTGAGACAGTATATTTTTTCATTGGCAATTGTATGATACTAGGTGCATGCTACCATGGGGTTTTATTGGAACATTAGGGAGAAACACTGCCAAGATAGAACTTCTCACAACCTTCAGGTAGGCATAACTGTGACACTTTTTATAGAAATTTTATTACTTTCTGTCAGTTCTACAGTGTTTTAAAATATGGGGAGATTATCTCATGTTAGTTTTTGCTGCCATGTTACTAAGAGGCTGAAAATCTACATGTCTGGAAATGAATTAATGAAGATAAATATATCACCTTTAATGATTTTAGGCTACTCTCTGTTATGACAAATAGTAAACCAAATTATATATAACTATGAAAAAGCAGCAGCACGCAGGAAGTGAGCAAACACACTGCAGGTACTGATGTTTGCCTGAAGGGAAATACACTGTGACCAATTAATGCTGTATGAGCCTCTTGTTTTAAGATATCACTGTAGCCTTTCTTGTAGCTGCAGCATTTTCTGATAAAAACGTAGATCTTGTCATGGTCTAGGCACTCAGATTATTTTTCTGTGACTAGTTTGATGTCAGTTTAATTAGAGCTGTGCACAGTGTTACCTGATTTCATCCTCTTTCTGTTTACATATTTAGGCCCTAATCCTGCCACTGGATTTGTTCAAATGGACCTTGATAGCCATGGGGCCTGACTGAGTTGATGGGACTCCTGGATGACTGCGAGTTCCTACTCTGAAGATCTGATTGTAGGCCTGAACCTAAATTTTTATTTCCTTCTCCTGTCTATTTGCTTCTAATTGATGAAAATTATCCAAAAACCAGTATTGTCTTTGAGTCTTATGCACATCACCTTAGTAGCACTCAGACTCTGTGTGCTTGGGATGTTGTCAGACATTGTTAAAATATTTATGTTCTGCCATGTGCCAATATCTCATGATTTCTCTCATTATTGTGTTATATTTTTACATTTAGTGTCTTCCTATCTAAAATAGAGATGATCACCTGTGTTTTTAATCATTGTGATATTTCTTTTAACTCAGATTTTTAAGTCACAGTAACTGTTGAAACTATTCTGAACTTTTAGATTTGTTTTTTCCTTGGTGGACACAGAGTATATCTATTTTATTTTATTTTGCAAACTTAGTAGCCTATTATTACTGCAAGCTTTCAATATCATGGTACTCTAATGCAGATCAATAAAATAAGTAGGAAAAGGCATTAACTTTTACTAGATCTCCTGTTGCTTTTCTGTTTCTGTGGCTGTGATTACATGACATACAGCTGAGAGTAAGGATATTTTTATTTTTTTGTGAGCCAGTGAATATCTTTTGATTACACTGAGTGCTGTTCCCTGTCTATTCCATATGACTGTCTTGCAGTTTCACTGAGTACTAAAGTTATAGCCCTGACAGAAGCTGAAAAGGACTTTGCAAAATCACATTAAAAGAGTTTGAGAGGTAAAACAGATCTATTTCATCTCTATGCATGTTAGTATTTATTTTTTATATTTTTTTAAAAGCAAATCCATAGCAATATATGATAATTAACATATTAAAAGATCAAAACTTTCTCTGTATATAGAGAATGAGAAAAACCTTTTTTTGTTTTGTTGGTTTATTGCAGTGCTTCTGTAAGCACTGTAAGCTAAGATCTTCACAGTATTTGATGAATTTTTGCATATTCCCAGAACAACAGAAAAGCACCGCTGTCCTGTTTGACCAAGGAGAAAACTGAGCCACTCGTTCAGTCAGTAGTAAAGTCAATGAAATTAATTGGATTCTCCTGCCTTTTAACCTTTTGCCTCCAGCTCCATTTCTCCCTCAAGAGCCAAATCTTCCATTATCATCATCTGTTTTGCATTTCTGTGTGAAAGGCCCAAGGTGTTTCGGTTTGGACTCCCAGAAAATGAGGAAGACAAGGTTGGTGGCCATCTGCCAAGGTGCTTGGTCTGACTTGCTCCTTGCTCACAGAAGCCGATGGGAAAGGCAGAACTGAGTGTTCCTGTGTGGCATTCAACTGCCTTAACCACATGCCCATCGCTTTCTTCCTGTAGTTGTCTGTCTTGTTCTCTGCATAACTCCTAGAGCAAACACATATACCAACCTATAAATAATCTAATTTGATACACAACCCTGATTCATTTCCTGAGCTGCATGTCCTGCACACACAGGGTGGCCACAGTCCCGTGGAAAAATTCAGCAGAGCACATGAGGCCGAATACTAAGGCTTTTAAGTATTTAAACTTTGCAATGAAATGGTGTTCCTTTAATGTAGCTTATTATAGATATAGCTTGAAGTATTTTTAACAAGGAACAAGAGAAAAATGAAGGCTTTTAGAACTGGTTGTAACAGTTTCCCTGTCTGGCATGTGGACGTGAATATCCAGCTCAGTGAAATACAGAACATCAGCCGGTGGGAGGAGGCTGGCCACCTCCAGGGAGGAAGGGAAGGAAGAAGGCTGGGTAGTAAATGCTATGGATATACTGAGTTTGCTTTTGAGTCTCAGGGAATATTTGTGTGGCACTGACCCTAGCTTTTTAGCTTTTGTTTTCTCTTCAGCATTCCCAGCTAAAGAAACTAGCTCCTTCAGAATTGCTCAGTGCTGTAGACATTGGGGGTGTTCCTGCAGTCTGCTAATAATCAAAATGAAGAAACGGAAATCAAAGGTGGGCTTTTCTCCTGTGTTCTTCTGTTGGAAAATAAGAGGAGATACTCCCAGTCTCACAGTTCTCTCCCCAGTGAATTTCAGGGGCGACCCATGTGATCCTTGATTTCACAAATAGATACTGCTCTCGACTTGCCCCTTTAGTCTTCTTCCCAGTCAAAACGTAGTGGCCCGCTGTGTTTCTAAGCTACCAAGGTGTGTAGGCTCCAGTGCCAGAGCAGTCTTGTTGGGAATCACAAGTTCATCTCTCTGTCTTTTATGTTAGACTTCATTAGGATGATAGGTTTTTTTCAGAGAAATCTTGCCAGACCATGGGCTAGGTTCCAGTTTTTGTTAATGTCTACTTTATCTGTGGATGGCACTTGAGATTTGGTCACCAAGCTAGTGATTTGCTATGAGGAAAACAGAACAATCTCATACTTGGATTTTGCATGCTTTTCTCTAGGATATGCAGTCTTTCCGCTCAGCAAATTTGGATGTCCTCTAAAGAGCTCAGGTGGGGATCCTGTTGGGGAAAGTTTGTTCAGCCCATTCACTGCAATTCGTGAAAATCAAAATGCTTGCAAAAGTGTATCAGTTCCACTATCATTTTGTTGCAAAGAAAAAATTAAACCCCTGCTTTTAACACTGTGTTTTTTTAATAAGTGTCAGTTTTCATCATTTCACAGCTGTATAGAAATTGTGGGAGCAGGGTGAAACAGTCTTGATAGAACAGAATCACCCTAAGCCAGTATCTCAAGTCAACACTTTGTATCGTGAAACCGTGGCCTGAAACTGCTGCCTGTCATATCAGATAATATTGTCATTGATTTATTATGTTACTTCATCTTACGTGTTTTTGTTACCTTTTAGGAGTGATGGGGGTTTTTTTTGTTTGTTTTGTTTTGTTTTCCCCCTCTTGGTTTTGGTATTGGGGATCTTTTTTGGAGAGGAATGGGTGGGTTGGGTTGAGGTTTTTTTTTACCAGCACCTACTGGAGCCCTGATCCATGACTTGGCTTCCAGGTACTAGGATAATACAAGTAGTAATCATGCCTGCTGCTAAAAATTTTCTACCTTATTTCATTTGCATTTGTTTGCCTTCAGCTTCCAGTCATTGATTCATGTTATGCCTTCTCTGATGGATTAAAGAGCTCTTTAGGACTCACTATTTTCTCCCCAGGAAGGTGCTTTTACCCTGTAATCAAGTTCCTTCTCAATTTTTTTTTGTTTTATTTTTTTTTTAAGAAAAAGCTAAACAGATTGAGGTTTTTATGGTTCTTAATATTTTTTTTTCTCATTGTCAGATGATTTTTGTGGCTCTTTTCTATCCATTCTCTATTTTTTCTTTTAAAGAAGGAAACAAAACTGTATTTTACTAGTCACATACACAGAAGTAAAATTACTTCTCTGGTTACTCTTGTGTTAGTATGGTTAAAAATTGATGTTTTTGCAAGGTCAGATAAAATAACTACCTGATATGACTTCTGCATGTCTAAGTGTAATTATTAGAGGACAGAAAAGGATGGATCGTTTTAAAAACATGTATATGTTTTTCAGTATTTTAAAATGATCCAAAAATCAGCAAGAGCAAGAGGGGATGTGCAGGATGGGTTGCAAAAATATTTATGTGAGGTTTTTAAGGAGATAGAAGTGAAATAAAAATAATAATTGTAAAGCAACAGTAATACGTCAAAACTTAATTGCTATGTTTAACACAGCGATACATGCTTGCTGAAATTTTATAGGATGAATGAAAAACATTTTTTAGTAACAGGCTGTTGCAGGCCACTGGAAATAGAGACTGAATGGCTGTCCTTTACATCCTTTACGTCCTGTAAGTAGCTACTTGCTTATATTTGGAAACCCAAGAACAGTTATGTGGTCTGTAATAGAAGAAATAACATAGTATTGAGAATTTCTTTTGTTACAAAAGCTGTCACCATTAAGTTATATAACAGTTCAAACAGTAAAAATCCATAGCTTCAAAGAGGTTCTTGAAAGTTTTACTCTTTCAGTACTTCTTTCTAAAGGAGTGGCTATTGATTTTTATTTTTATTCATACTTGAAGACAAGGTTGAGTTAAATTTACGTGAAGGAGACTAATCAGATGCCTGCCTGGTCAGTGTATCTCAGCTTACCCAATTACTTCTATGCATATCATGCATATCAGCGTCTGAATTGAATCTGCACTCCCAGCCCCACACTTATTCCTCCTGGAAACTATCAGATTTTCATTAAATTGAACAACTACAGACTGTTTAAACTCTCAGTGCTGCTCATCAGCTTAATGCAAGTTTGTCTAATGTTGTGTCTCACAAAAATTGAGGTCTTTCTGTCCAAACTGACTTGCTTTTTGACTTCAGAGGGAGTATGTCTTTCTGTTACGGCAGCATTCCTTCCCTCCGTGAAACTTGGGGCATATGCAGTAAAGGACTTCGTTTAGTACAGCAAAATGAAACTTCATGGAAACATGGTAAATGAGGAAAAAATGAGAATTAAAACAATGTAAAACACTTAAAATCTTCTAAAAATCCTGGAAAAGAAGTAAAGGTGACTAAGGACTGAATAGAAAGGTAAATGGCCTCTAGTTTAAAAAGTGCTAAGATAAATAGATTTAGGCTACAAGTTTGTGTATGTGAGTTAATGAAAAAGTTATTACTCAGATTTCAGTAGCACTGGGTAGAAGTTGCCCCCTGCAATGATGAACTTACAGAGCCCTTTTCAAAACAACTATTTGCTGTTGGAAAAAGATGAGAGAAGTGCGCATTCCCTTGAGTGCCTTCTGGTATCACAGGCTTAGTCAATATAAAGTATGTAATTTCTTACATCCTAGGTTGCCTCAGTTTCTTCTCCTGAGTCTCCCAAATCCTAGAATAGAACCATTAAATAAAGGGAGATTTCAGCACTAGGAAAGAAGGTAGTAAAAGAAAAAAAAAAAAAAACAAAAAAAAACCAGGATGATTATGATAAAAGCTGGAGACAGTCTCTGTGAGAATACTAGTGTGACTTCATTTCTCTGAACAGCCATTTAAGAGGTGGTCCTCCTTCCTAAACCAGTAATAAATTGGGATGGGTGCATATAATGGTAGGTATTTGACCAATGCAGCACCCAATGCAGTGCAATATATACTGGATAACTATTCTGGGAGTGGGGGGAAAGGGGTTGTAGGTAGGAATTACTTTCTCATTAAATAATGCTACTAAGGAGTATTTGGTGAGCAGGTACACCTGCCACAGCACATTTTTCATCTTACATTTGCACAGGAATGTGGAGAAGAGAAGAGAATGGGGAAAGAAAGGAGGGAGATGGAGAAAGGATAACAGCTTTTTGAGGCTTCTTGTGCTCTTCCAGGATATGTTCCTTGCCCTCCTAAGTGGTTACTCTGATAACTTGTAGTACTTGTAATCTTCCTTGAGCACTGTATCTCATTGGGAAGTTAACAAGTTCATGAAGTTTCTGGGTACGTGGACAATTCCTTGGCTGAATGAGAAACACTCCACTGTGTAGCACTCCTTGTGAGGGATGAGGCAGACACTACTTAGTGACAGCCACATACACTTGGCTGTGCTCAGCAAAAGGGTAAGACTGTCCTGTCAAACTATGCAAGTTCCTTTTTTTGAAGCTGTTAGCAAATGGTTGTTTCCTCCAGCAGTTCCTGTAACTGTGTGCAGTCTACATCACAGTAGATGCTGTGTAGATACTAAATAGTGATGTGTGCTGCATCCCCTGTTTTTTTGGATATCAACACCCCTTAAGTTCACCTTATTTTCCTGTTTTGTGGAGATAAGTCTGTGGTAGGCTTTCTAATATGTTGGTGTTGAGGTGTCATCTTCATACTCAGAAGCAGATGGTTTAGCCTGTGTTGCAGAAGGAGATAGAGTCTTGTATAAAGGATCAGAGTAGAGGTCAGGTGATGTTTATATATTGTGTATTTTCAGAAAACATATAGATAAGGGAATAGTAGCTCTGTCCCAGCACTATACATGGCTCAACAAATCTTTCCAATTTGACACATAGCACTGAGGTTTATCTAAAGGAGGCCTGGATGTGAGGGTACATATCTTGTTGAATCTTTTGGGCTGGATAAAATAGGAAGGAAGAGATTCTCCAGTATTTTTCATCTCCTTAGGCCTGGTTGGATCCTGCCTGTTCAGGTGTAGAAGTCTAATAGTGGTGTCAGCATCAGAAGCTTAATTGTCTCTTGACTGGAGTGAGGGAGACTGAGTACTGACGCCTTTAGAGGAGTGTCTGTGAAGGTGGACAGTAGCATTTTGGGTTTATTAGAAGCAGCTGTTAACTCTTATCTCAGTGGTAGGCTTGAGTGTACAGTACATAAATGATCTGGAGATTTTGGAGGGAATTGAATATTTGATGCCATGTTTCCAGAAAGTTGAAGAGATAAGTGAATGTTGCACTGCATGTTGTGCTCTCAGCAAAGCAAACATCTCAGCAGGTCAGCGATTTCAGAAATAGTGCAGTCCTGAAAGAACATTTTTTGAACTCCTTTCTGCTGTTGAAGCTGAACAGAGTTCCCATCTGTCTGAAACTCCACATCAAGAGCTTCACAGAAGCACTTAAAGAAGTTATGTACTTATGCATAAGCAATAAGATGCTAAAGGAATTATATTTCATAGTAGTAAAGCTCTTAACCTTACCATAAAATCATTACTTTCTGTACCCATGTTCACTGTAAAAAATGTTCGTCATAATACTGATCATCAGAAGAAAAGTCCACACTGATGTATCTTCTTCCTTTTGCCCACTTCATAAGGTGAACAGTGTGAGGTATACACTTTTGCTACAAAAATCTGTTTACTTGGATACTTTACTGTATATCTGTTAATTCCTCAAGAAGCATGCAAATCTTCATGTTACTCATTTTGTGGATAAAAGCACTGTGTAACTACTGACCCTGATTTAAGAATGTATCAGCTCTAGAAACAGTGGAATTGTCTGCAGGGCTCACATGTCAGCAAAAATTAGCTGGTTCACACATGAAGCTTGGCAAGGAAATCACTGCAGCGGCACCAGTGCCATCCCTGCTCCCTGCCTGCCTCTCCCAGACCGCTTCCTTTAGTCAGCCAAGGTTACCTTGTGTGTCTGCCACTCCTCCACAGTTGCTACTCACTGGCACACCACTAGCCAGCCACTCATCTGCAGTGGGTGGACAAATGGTCTTCTGAAACCCTGTTGGTTAATGGAAGAGAGACAGCTATATATACAGATTACCTGACACAACGTGAGCAAATCCAGACAGAAAGGAAAAACAAAGCAGATTCCATACATTGTTACTCTTCGCAGACACTCCAAGTCTCATTTCTTTGGAGTCTTTCTCTTCCAGAAATGATTTTAAGGAAATATTTAAAATATCTCCCAAAAATTTCAAATAAGGCACCAGAGGAAAAGATCGGTTGCAAGTCTACATCTTATAAGCAACTGAGAACTGTGTTCATTTGGGCTGTCTACAGGCTGGCACTGCAGCCTCAGGAAGAGGGCAAATATGGCCAGTGCTTTTCTTCAAATATGCTGTGAACAACCTATCGACCGTGTGACTGGAAGTGTTAGGAAGCAGCAGTGACAATCCAAATTACCAGCAGTTCCATCGTAAGTATGTGTGCCCAGGTGCCCTGTCTCTGCAGATGT